ATCCTCGCCAACATTTGTTGTTGCTAGTTGTTTGAAGATGTGCCATTCTCACTGGGCCACCCCGTACTTTTTACTCAGTTTGAACTTTTATTTGGGAGAGAGTGTTCTCAGATCTGGCGGTCGGTTCTTTTATACTTCTAGGATTCATCGTAAATTGGGGGATTTGCGATCACAAGTGTACTAACCTTGACTCCTGAGTCTTTGTTGTCAAACTACAAAGAAGAAGTGAGAAAGAGGAGAGGGAGCAGGTTCTTAGGGTTACACGTGTTACCCTCACACGGGTACACGTATGGTCTTTGGTTAAATAAGAATGCTCTCACTTCTCCAAGATGGGTTTGAAAGCACCGTGTGTCAAATCCAGAAATACTTGCATGAAGATGAGTAGCAGTCATCCAGAAAATGAAACTCTTTGGATTCCGTTAGCCTGAATTTGAGATTTTGGCCTTTGCAGGAGGAGGATGAGCTGGATTCTGGCACGATGGTTCGGGCAGCGGGTGACGAGATGGGCACCGTCCGCGTCGCCCACACCATGAGTGATGGCGCCAACACGATGATCGAGCACGGAGACACGTTGCCGTCGCAGCTGGGCACCATGGTGATCAACTCCGAGGACGAGGAAGAAGAGGGGACTATGAAGAGTAAGGCCTTGCGTACACTGACCTCAGTTGAGGTCACAGCGTCTCGTGTCCACCCAGGCTCACGCTGGAGCCCCTTCTGTATTGCAGCAGAAGGGCAGATGCCACTGGAGGGCCTCGTGGGGGCCGTGGGGGTGGGGGGTGGGCTGCGGTGTCAGGTGCAGGAAAGCGCCAGCAGTCAGAAGGGACTGGCTTTTGAGCCTCAACAGCCATGTTCACTAAATCTGGTCCGTTTTCCCCTTCTTCTCGTCTGTCTGTGGCCACAGGCCCACTATCAGTGTGATGACCCCAAGCCGTCAACTGTACACACCTGTGATTGTCTCTGCCCTGTGTCTGACCCGGGCTACCAGGACTCAGTCGAGACATTAAGGTGCTATGCAAGTCTACAAGCCCTGCCCGTCCCTCCTAGTTTAAACCTAGCTCCACTGCTGTCCTGCGTAGAACTGTGAGACCTTCTGTCTCAAAAAAGCCTGCTGTCCGTTCTCCTCTGCTTTCGTTGGTTCCCGTCCTTTGTTACATAGAACATTATTGAACAGCTCACAGAGGAAAGGACTCTGGGGTGCAAAATCACAGTAGTTGAGCTGTTCAGACATAATGTAGTCTAAACTCTGCATAGGTTTAGAACAACTAAAGCTCTGTAATCTTCCCATCACCTTTTCTTCTTTTGTTAGAATGTAAAGATCTTTCAACCAGCGTTGGCCTGCTGTGGGCCATGGCCAAACCTGACTGCCACCGGTGGTTTTACAGGAACATGGCCGTGCCCGTTGGTTCCCTGGTCTGTGGCAGCCTCTGCGTTACAGAGTAGCTGAGACAGACCGCACAGCCCTAAAACCTGGGAAGCTTGTTGTCTGGTCCTTCACGGACAGAAGGCCCTGCTCTAGACCCCCTGCTTTGACTGACCGATACATCAGTGTATTTTTCTTCAGCGCTGCTGTACCCCCAGATTCTTGGCTGAAGACACAGCAAGGGAGGAAGAAGCAGCCCTTACTCAGAAGGAGCCCCCTGTGCAGCGTGGGGACAGGCTGTTAGGCACAGCTCAGAGTGTGATCCGAGTTCTGAGATAAAGGTAGCCTGAGGGTGTTGCTGAAGTGGCACAGAAGAGCATTTAATTTAGACTGGGGGTTACTGAAAAAAATTCCTGGAAGGAAAAGGCAGCAAGGCTGGCAGCGGGCGGGTGGGAGGCGATGTCCCAGCGGAGGAGCAGAGCACGCGCAGCACTGGGGGCGTGGGTGGGGGCGAGGGAGGCGCAGGTGGCTTGTGGGACCAGGACAGTCACTGGGGCTGCGGCTCCGCGCAGCCCCTCTGCTTTCCCTCCCTCAGTCCCTTCTGCGTTGGGCCCAGGCTCGTCATTTGTCTGTGGCTTCTGGGCCGGATGACACAGGTGACGCCGCTGGTGGGTGTGCGGAGAGGCGGCCTCCTGGATGCAGCGTGCATCGGGGGTCACAACGGTCCCATCGTAGACCCAGTAATTCCACTCTTGGAAATCCAGTCCAAGAAAAGTTGACGATTCAGACAAATCATATTCCAGAAGTTTTCCAAAGGTGTTTCTTATACAAAGGTGTTACTTATAATTATTTTACTTAAGCTGATTAACTTTAAATGTTGGTGGCAAATAACTGGTCAGATGAATTATGGTGCATCCGGGGAATGGAACGCTGTCCCAGACGAAAACGCTGAAGGTCCTATTTGAGGAACACTTAATTGGGGAAACATGTTGAGTGAAAAAAGGAATCAAATGATAGCATATGACTCTAGTTTTATAAAAGTACAAGAGAAATCAACACAGGTTCATATATGCATTAAAAAACTGGGAAAATCAATCAAAAGTCTATAGGGAAGTAAATATTAAAAGTAGTGATTATTGATCATAGGCTGGAAGTATTTAAAATTTTATTTTATTACCAGAAAAACAAATCACACTCCAAATGCTGCTAAGATCACAGTGGGTCTGTAAGTTCGGGCTTTTGGTTCTGGATTGCTGTGAGAATCCTTTTTCCTTCCCTTCTTTACCTTCTCACTGTTACGCTCATAAGAAGATATTTGTGAAGAGTTTATAACAAACATTGTCACTCCCTGCCAGCCTCTTTAAACTTTTTTCACCCAGTGTTCTTTCAGTATGTTTCGTCCTCTGAATTCAGAATTGAAGCACCCCAGATATATCAGTATGGCGTTACACAGACTGTCAGGTGAATTCTCTACGCTGAGTTGAGTGTCTCTCAGTAGCTGGTAGGTTTGGTAGGAGAGTTTGTTTCATGGTAATGAGCTGCGGACTGCTGTTTCTTTTTATTGACTCCGAGTGCTAGGGCTTCTGCCTCTCGAAGGGCTTTGCTTAGACAGCTGGAGTTGATCACCATGCAGGATGACGCGCCTGGCAGTAAACAGTTTGTGCGTGGACATGTTGTGTGGGAGAGCTGTCCTTTTTTATTTAAAGAATCAATTTTGTGCCAAATGCCCCTTTTATATTTCCAGTGTTAATTAATTCTGTAAGTTGCTTGTTCAGTTTCTGAGTTTGGTTAGTTTTGGCAAGTCTAATGAGAAACATACATCTTTTATTATAGTCACCATGGAAACCATTTAGTACCCTACAGTGCAGCTGCGTGACATTCATTTAGTTCACAATCTACAGGTCTTGTAGTTCAGTGTTGGGTCAGCAGTTTGACAGATTTGCCACTTGTTTTGAGAAGATTACTCCTTTTTGTTTTAGGTGTTACTTAAACTTTCATTAAGGAAAACTAAAGCATATACACAATTACACAATAATTGTATGATTACCATGGATTTATTATTCCCCACTTTGAAAGACAATTAACTTACTGATTATCATATTTTAGTCCCCTCAAAAGAAAGCAACACGCTAAATTAGTATAAATTTAAGACATATCCTTTCTTTGGAATTGATCTTTAAAGATTTAAGAGACCGGCTGTTGTGTTGATTAATTCACTTTCCTGGCTTGGGTTTCAGTGCCCTAGTCAGTAACATTAAAGTTATAAAACTTTGTTTCCCTTGTCCTTTATATCTCTAGTAGTCTACATAAAATTGTGTAACTCATAACTAACCCAAAACTGAAGGTTCTTGAAGTTAACATTTAATGCTAAAATACTTAAGCTTTCATCTCCTATTGTCTTTGTGAAATGTTGAGTCCCTAAAAATTAAAATTATAAGTGTCACTCTTGATAAACTTACAACATACTACTATGGTTGTTGCCTTCAGTTTTGTACTGTCTAATTTTAAACAAGCTTTAACTTGGAAGTGAGAAATCTCATGTTCCTAAGTTATATTTCAGACTGGTCGGCCATAGTGCTGGGCTTGAGTTTGCCCTGGCTTTTATGTTTATGCTGGGGATTGAGTTCTGGCTCCCCCTGCAAAGATGTGCCTCGTCTTATCTCTTTATTCTGATTCTTGACCCTGCATCAGTCTTACAACTGGTCTGTAGGGCTTGGTTTTCCCATAGGGCCACTCACCTCAATACCATGGGCTCCTTTTTCGCTTTTGCCACCTACAGGCTCTTCTCTCCTGTTTTTGAGCAATACAGTGTTTTTTTGTGTGTGTGTTTGTTTGTTTGTTTTTGCCTTGAACTTCTGTGCATTTGGAGCAGGAGGGTAGGCCTCTCGTGTTCCACTCATTCTATTCGGTTGTTAACCTGCCTGCGGTGATAGGCCTGTCCTTTCTCTGTAAGGGACGCGTTCAGTGGTGTCATTTACTTACTGTCCACGCAGTGGAGCTGATGAGCTGGGAGTGAAAGAGCTGTAGTCTTTGCTCTGTGGTAGTTACTTATTTATACACACAAGAGCTGGGGTACAGGCCAGAGGTACAGGGGCAAGAGGATTCACCAGAGACAGAGTGGGGAGCAGAACAAACAGATCTACTAAAACACACTGCTGAGGGGAGCAGCGGGAGAGACAGGACAGGTCTGCTGTGCTATGTGGGTCACCTCCCTGGCCGGTGTTCAAACTCTTGCTGCAGTGGCTGCAGATAGCTTCATAGTGCTGAGACTTAACCCCTTGTGTCACCAGGAAGGCCCTCTTCGCTCTTTTTATTCTGCCGACCTGGTTTGTTTTATATACATCGGCATCAGATCCATAGTCGAAAGTCTGTCAGAATTCATGGTAACACAGGTGCTGGTTTCTGATGAGATGCCAGAGATACTTTTTAAAAAACAATTATGTGTTACATATAATTTATTTGCTTATTATGCTCAGGAGGGTAAACTTTAAAATAAACAGTAATCATGAATGATTAGGCATGAAAGTACAAACTGCACTTTTACATATTTTGAGCATTACTACCATGCTGTGTGGTAAATAAACCTTTCCCTGCACCCCAGAATTTTATAGCACCAGAAACTGAATTGCAGAGATTAAGTAACTTGCTCATAATTACGCAGTGAATAATGGCAAACTCAAGATTTGGAGCCAGATGTGTTCAATGTCAAAGCACGTGCACTTACCCAGCGTGTTCCCTGCCGCTCGGGCTCAGGGTACAGGTTATGTCGGGTTGGTACGTCGCAGCCTGCAGTAAGATACCTCTTCTCAAGGGTTGTTCGAGCAACTAGCTGCTCTGCCTGTGTCCCCAAAATCTCCCAAAGCAAACGACACCGTGGTTTTCACAGGGGACTTCCCTTGTAGATCGGAGCATGGTGGCAGAACATCCGAGGGGAGTGTGTTTTAGTTGTGCACACCTGAACCTACAGTAAAGAATTATATTGCAGTTAGAGGGCGGTGATTAGGGCAAGGTGAGGTTTGATCGCTTTAGAGGGATCTCAGGAACACCTGCAAGAAGCAGGGCAGTAAAACGTGGCCCACGCTCCCTTGAACACCCGTATTCCAATAAAATACCGGTGTGCGGATTTTTGAAGGCTTTTTTATCTACATAGTTATGGGTGTGCGCACGTGCGCACGTGTGTGTCTATGTGTATATATGTATTTTTTTAATAAGGGCTATCAAATAACTTTGCCCCCAAGGACTTAAGTGCTTGCTCCTGCAATGACCCCAGGGGCTGTC